ACAAAAGAAACAATTCAAAGAACTTAGTGAAGAAGGCTTTGGTGTATTTAACACAATACGTTGAAATGAAACAAAGCTTATTTATTGATATCTCCAATAAGTTACAAATATGTACATATACATGAATCAAAATAAACAAACAAGAGGGAGTCATCACAAAGGTTGCTCATGAGAAGTCTCAACAGTCGGCAGAGCCCCATAAAGAGTAGGCACCGGAGGGTGATCATTCGGAGCCTCAGTACTGGGCAAAACCCCAGAAGGATAAGGCACCGAAGGTTGATCATTTGGAGCTTCATTACGTAGTACAGCCCCAGAAGACGAAGGCAATAAATGCCTTTGGAACAAACCCACAAACCTCTGATGATTAAGTAAAATCTGACCATCAGATTCCTGCAGCTGGTCAAGCTTCCTTTTCATGTTTGTAGCATAGTCATGTGCGAGCCTGTGCAACTGTTTATTCTGATGGTTGAGCCATCTGATATCCTGTTTGAGACTTATCACTTCAGCCTCCAATGATTGAACTCGGCGGGTTCGAGCAAATAGGCGTTGGGCCATATTAGACACAGAACCTGCACACTGAACACTGAGAGCCAGAGAATCCTTAACAGCCAACTCATCAGACCGTTTGGAAAGTAGTATGTTATCTTTGGGGGTGAGAAAGTTCCTGGCCACCACCACAGCGGTCATATCATTTTTCATCACAAAGTCCCCAACGGTAAAATGACTAGTAGGGGATAAGAAGGATGGGCGCCATATGTTGTCTTGAGAAGGCATGGCTGCCTCTTCACCAAAGTTCAAGTCAAAACGATGGTCGGATGGGCCAGACATTCTCAGAAACGATGAAGGAGAAATGAGGTGCAATAAATCTCTGAAGTAAGGGGAAAATTCCAACAAGCAATAACTCTCTGAATGTACTTCTTGCACACAATTGGTGCCCTTATAAAAGAAAAGGCAACATGGCCGTCGGTTCGAAAATCAAAGAGGCACCACTTTTTGAATTTCGAAGAGGCACCATTTTCGACATGCAACATCAGCTCCTCGGGTACCACAAATAACTTTGCCAAAGATCTCTGACAAAGGTTAGACACATAAATTTTAAAGGTCTAGCTACCCTACTATTACCCATAAGGGTAAAGGAACAGCACCACTGCTTGATAACTAGAAAGTCCCAATGTGTGTCAACCTCCGTGCTCCGTGGCAAGGCAGACTGGTAAATATCCCCAACCTTTACTCACATTCGAGAAAACACTCCTAACAAGATTACTTGCTCAAAAATTGAAGAGGCACCGCTCTCCAAATCTCGAGAGCCAGACTCCCAACAGGATTACATGCTCAAAAATCGAAAAGGCACCGTCCGTTGAATCTGGAGAGCCAGACTCCCAACAGGATTATTTTCTCAAAAATCGAAGAGACACTACTCTCCGAATCTCAAGAGTCAGACTCCCAACAGGATTACTTTCTCAAAAATCGAAGAGGCATCGCTCTCCAAATCTTGAGAGCCAGACTCCCAACAGGATTACGTGCTCAAAAATCGAAGAGGCACCGCCCTCCGAATCTCGAGAGCCAGATTCCCAGCAGGATTACTTTCTCAAAAATCGAAGAGACACGGCTCTCCGAATCTCAAGAGTTAGACTCCTAATAGGATTGCTTTCTAAAAAATCGAAGAGGCACCGTTCTCTGAATCTCGAGAGCCAGATCCCCGACAAGATTGCTTGTTCGAAAACTGAAGAGGCATCGCTCTCCGAACTTTGAGAGCCAGATTTCCTTGAATAAAGCTTGTCTGCAATCTTCACACGCAACATCAGCTTTCCAGATACCACAGACCATTTTTTCAAAGTGCTCTGACAAAGTCAAAACACGTGAAGCTTGCAGCTCCCACTACATTGCTATGACCAAGAAGGGTAAAGGAATAGCACTACTACTTGTTGTTAGGGAGACTCCTATATATGTCGACCTTCATCCTCCATAGCCAGGCAGACCTGCAAATAAAAAAAATGCTCAACTTTTCTTCACATCCGAGAATGCACTCTCAGCAAAATCTCTCGAAATACTCAGCTTCTTTTCCTCCCAATAATACCTCTGCAAACAAGCCACACTAGAGCAAGAATATCTCATATCATCAGTGTTAAAAGCAAGAGTATCACATATCATGCTTTTTCCATGTCTTTTCCTTTGGCCTTGTTTTTACCTGCAAGACAAGGAGAAAGAGAGCAATTAGTCAGCACTTGGAATCAAGCTTCCAATCAGAAACTGACTGCCTGGAACCCCTTACCTGATTACTTACCTAGCATTGCTCTTGAGTACTCATCTTCAACATCTTATGCTTCCAGAGAAGATACCACATCTGCCTGAGGAACATATAGGGCAAGTGAGAAGGATACAAGGAAGCATGTCGAGACAAGCGTAACAGAACACGTGCTGATACATCCACTACTTTGTCAACAGCAAAAGTATCACATATCATCAGGGTCGAACGTACTCTAGATTTAATAGACTTGTTTTGACCCTCAAATTCTGGAGTCGGCCTTATACTCTGGAGGAAACTAGAAAACCCTCCAGCCCAGTTCAAGAATAAGCCTGTGGAAAGTTACTTCTTCAAAAGCAAAAGTATATCATATCATCTTTTCTGCATTTGCTTCTCCTTATCCTTGTTGTTGTTTACGACACAAGGAGAAGGAGAATAATCAACCGGAAGCCGAAGTCGAACCTCCAATCCAGGTTGCTTGCTTGGAAGTCTGATTGCTTACCTTGTATGTTACCTCCTTCGGCAAATCTCCTAGCTCGGCGACTTGGAGGACTTCTACTATAGGTTTATATCGCACTTGACCAAGCCTAAAACTACAAGTAAGCTTCAAGTGAAATTGATACATTACCTTGTGCATCTTCATCGGTTAAAGATACCAACCCTGGATGGAGGAAAAGTACTTCCAGAAAAGATGCCACATCTACATATGAGACAGATAAGGCAAGTGAAAATGATACCACACTTCGGTACTTAGAAGTTTCGTGATTACTCAATGGCTTGGATCTTGCAAGTCCCCAACCGAGGAGCTTCCCTCACTCGGAAACTTAGGGGAGCACTATTTGTACCATACTTGACCAATCCCGAAACTACTGAGCACCGATCAACGTTATACCGTCAAGGACCCAGAAGAGTTTCCCTCCAACCAGAAGGCCAATCACAGCGCGACACGTGTCTACATCAGAAGCCAATCATAGCGTGACACGTGTCAACATCAGAAGCCAATCACAACACGACACGTGTCAATGTCAGAATGAAACTAGAAACTCTCTTCTATAAATAGAGATCATTCTCTCACAATATTTCCTAATGTCATTTGTATTAAATCATTCACTAGTACTCATTAAAGGAAAGCTTAAACCTATGTGCTTGTGTAAACCATTCACAATTAATGAGAACTCCTCTACTCCGTGGACATAGCCAATCTGGGTGAACCACGTACATCTTGTGTTTGCTTCCCTGTCTCTATCCATTTGCATACTTATCTACACTAGTGACCGGAGCAATCTAGCGAAGGTCACAAACTTAACACTTTCTATTGTACCAAAGTCCTCACTGATTTTGTGCATCAACACCCTTAATATGTTATGCTCAAGTAATTCCCCAATATTGATGATCGATTTTCCTTAAATTATTCGATTGTCATGGCATATGGTTGCATCAAAAGTATCCTTACATGTTAACCCTCTATGACATCTAGATGGATTAAAACAAGTAAGAACCCATTAAGCTATATGGAAATCGTTAGAAAATCACACAAACCCTAATTGCATGACATCTACAAATACATGTTTATGGTATCAATTGCACGAAGCTAAACCCAAGTTAAGTATGGCATCTACTCTAACTTGCATCAAATCAACTTAATCTAAACCTAGATGTGATCAAGCATCTAAATAAAAATTAAGCGCATTACAAATAGCAAAATACTCAATAAAGATGAAAAACATGATAATAACCATGCCACAAAAAAATTTAAGTATTCATGATCACGCTCCATCGTAACCCTAGCAAAGAAAAACCCCAAAGCCCCTCTCCTTTTTCACTTCTTGCCGCAGCCTTATGTGTGATACGATGTGCGTTTTTTTGTTGTTTGGTGGCTGACCTCCTAATCAAATGTAGAATGAATCTCCCTAATATAACACTCACGGCAATAAACATACATCCTACTAAATTCTAATAAACAAGCCACTAACATTCCAACTAACGGACTTTAGGTTCTTATTAAACAAAAGGGAAAATAAACGGAAATGATAAAACTAGTAATTAAGTTCTCTTTTAAAGTATACTGAATAGCATTTTCATGTCTTTGATCTCCAAAAACCATTTTTGTCGCATCTTCTTACTGTGCATGTCTTTGTGCAGTTAGTTAGCCTCTTGCTCCACTAAAATTACTCTAGACACCCGAAATCGCCATTTTCTTCTCATTTTTCATGTTGTTCCGTTATCAAATGTCTAAATATCAAAACAATATAATTAGTGCATTTAACCCATTCATATGTACAAAATTCAAAGAAAATATTGATAAAAATAAATGAAAATATGCACACATCACATAGTTTTATTGACAAGAATCGAAAGTTGGTAAATGTGGAGTTTAAACACGATCCACAGTAAAGACATGACTTAATCTTCATTTGCATTTTTGACCTGGTTCATGAAGTTCATTATCAACAGTTATGTTCTATGCAGGTTGGCATGCATATTTCTTGATCATTCAGTCCTCTCGTCGTAAGTTTAATCTCTACATCTCTAGTTATAATTCAGTGTTTATTTTATCATTTTATAAAACACCTTTGGATATTCTTGTTAATTTCTGTCATTTGATCTTCTTTAATTCATCTTATTCGACGGTTGAAAATTAAAAAGATGTGTAAGAAGTAAAAGATGGTGTTTAGCACACCCTATGACTACGGTGATTTCTTTGCTACAGCTTTTACTTGCTGTCGGGACTAAGTTGGAGTACGTAATTACTCAAATGGCTAAAGAGTTTGCTGAGAGATACACTGCAAGGGCGGGGGATGCGATTGTTAAACCTTCAGACGATCACTTTTGGTTCCACAAGCCCGAATCACTTCTCTTTCTTACTCATATCATAGTGTTCCAAAATTCTTTTCAACTGGCGTTTTGCTTCTGGAAATGGGTAAGAGTGACCTAAAATTTACCACAACTAGTACACTTCTAGATCAAGATGGTTCCAATACTCTTATGATAATTCGTGCTTCGATCTCTTGCAGTATCAATATCGTTTTGATTCCTGCATGATGGGGGAAGTTGGTTATGTTATTCCGAGACTCGCTATTGGGTAAAACCTTGTTCTGAGAGAGTGTGAGTGCATGTGTACTCTATTCTTCTTTCCTTTTCTGATCTTGTTCTGAATGCTAATATCTATTCTCAGAGCATTCATTCAATTACTCTGCAGTTACAGCATCTTCCCATTGCATGCAATTGTCACACAGGTGAGGTGCAAAGTTATAAACTGCTGCACTGTATTCTCTGTTTGCTAAATCCTTTTAAACATTTGTCACTGATATATATATATATATATATATATATATATATATATGCTTATGTATGATTTGTAACGAAGTTGGGAACTTCTATGAAGCCGGCCATATTTGAAGCGTTTGATACTGCAAGGAGCATTGCTCGCTGGCATCAGGCTGTAAAAAGGAGCCGGGCATTGAGAAAAGCTGCTATCAGTGATGAGTCGTTTGATAGTGCAAGGAGCATTGCTCGCTGGCATCAGGCTGTAAAAAGGCGCCGGGCATTGAGAAAAGCTGCTAGCAGTATTGAGTTTAGGCAAGATGATGCCGATCAGGCTTCTGTCGTAGTTCGGTGGTTTGAAGTAAAAAATCATGAGTCTTCGCTAAACAATGGCACCGACGTAAGAAATTGAGTCTACAGGAAGATGGCACTAAAGAAGAATCTAAACCCAAGGAGATTACAGAAGACAGTATTGTTAAAGGAAAGTATATTTGGTTAAACATGATTGTAGGGATTGTAAATAGTCAATGATCTGGTTAGAGCTATCATAGGACCAGATTGCAATCAACTTGTAATTAGAGATTGGTTACCTAGAATAGGCTGCATCCGACTGTATAAAGCTTGTATCCTTGTATGAATGAACATACTGGAAAATAAACCATTCAGCGAACACTTCAATTTTCACATGGCATCAGAGCACCGATCCTGGTGACTCTAGGCGTCCATTCCACTTCCGCTACAAACACACTCCAAATTTTTTCCAACACACACAACCAACATGGGTGGTGAAAAACCAGCAGAGATGGTGCCACATGCATCCGACCCTCTCATCCTACACCACTCAAATTCACCAAGTCTCGTCTTGGTTTCACAACTCCTCGACGGACACAACTACGGACAGTGGAGCCGCTCTATGCACATCGCTCTCAGTGCCAAGAACAAACTTGGGTTCATTGATGGATCAATCAAGTGCCCTGCAATTACCGACGCCAAATTTTCAATTTGGCAGAGATGCAACGACATGGTCTTGTCATGGATTTGGCAGTCTGTGCAAGGCAACATCGCACGCAGCATACTCTACTGCAAATCTACATCTGCAGTGTGGAAGGATCTTGAGGATCGATTCTCACAAGGAAACGATTCCAGGATCTACCAAATTCGACAAGAAATCGTCGAACACCGACAAGGACAACTATCTGTTTCAGACTATTACACCCAGTTAAGGGCTCTTTGGGATGAATTGGCTTCGTATTATGAACCAATTGCTTGCGATTATGAGGGATCCAAGACTCATGTAGCAAGGGAGGAAACAGAGAAAGTCATGCAATTTTTAATGGGCTTGAACGAGACTTACTCAACCATACGAGGCTCCATCTTAATGATGAATCCGCTCCCTGATACGCGACGTGTCCACGGGTTGGTTCTGGAACACGAGCGCCAAATGGATGTGGCAAATCATCATGAACCTGCTGCCCACGCGATGCATACATATCGGTCCACCACGCCAAAGGGAGGACCTACACCTGGTAGTTCCAGTTCACGCAAAGCATCCAAATGCAACTACTGTGATGGCTCACATTCCGTGGAACGCTGCTACTTTCTTATTGGGTTCCCCGAAAGACATAAGTGGCATGGGAAACATGTGCTGCCCAGAAACAAATGCCCAAATCCGACAGCCCACAATGTCAAAGCATCTCAATCACAAGCCACCCATACAGATGCAACCAAGGCCACATCTTCCTACGGCCCAACATTCACAACCGAAGAGTACCATCAACTTCTTGCCTTGCTACGTTCTATAAACAGTAAAATTACACCACTTGCGAATGCAACAGGTATTGTCACACCCACATGTAATATGACGGAACATGACTTGCATTCAACCCTTTACTGGAATATAGACAGCGGGGCATCTGATCACATATCACATTCACCATTAACACATAATCAGATTGATGTTGAAAATGATTTTGTGGGATTACCAAATGGGCGAACAGCAGATATTAAGAGCATTGGATCCGTAAAACTATCACATGAGTTATTACTTAATGGAGTTCTACATGTTCCAAAATTCCGTGTCAATTTATTGTCCGTGAGTAAACTCACACGGGCTCTACAATGTATTGTAATATTCTTTCCGGATTTTTGTGTTATACAGGACATGGATATGAAGAGGACGATTGGCCTGGGCAAGCAATTTAATGGGCTCTATTACCTTACGCCAAGTCAAAATCCCCATCTTACCAACCATGTTAGCCGCACCACCAGTCTCTGGCATCAACGCTTGGGCCACCCCTTTACACACCCTTTACATTTTTTGTCAAAAACAATTCCATAAATAATGTTCAATTCCAAACATGTTTGTGAAGTTTGCCCTTTGGCAAAACAAACTCGATTGTCTTCTAGTTCAATTCAATCCACTGCACCTTTCAACTTAATTCATTGTGACATTTGGGGACCTCACAAAGTTCCCACACATTCCGGGACACGTTATTTTCTCACCATCGTGGATGATTTTACTCATTTTACATGGGTGCATCTTATGCGTTTTAAATCCGATACACAAACACTATTGACATCATTCTTCTCTTGGGTCAAAACTCAATTTCACAAAAACATCAAAATTCTACGTGCTGACAATGGTGGAGAGTTCCTCTCCATGCGCACTTTTTTAGACACCCATGGCACCATTTTTCAACATTCATGTGTTCACACCCCTCAACAAAATGGGGTTGTTGAACGTAAACATCGACATCTTTTGAATATTAGGCATGCACTTCGTTTCCAAGCGAATTTACCATTAAAATTTTAGGGAGATAGTGTTCAAACCCCATGTTATCTCATCAACCGCATTCCCACACCCTTATTATCCCATAAATCTCCCTACGAATTTTTACATGGTCACTTGCCCAATTACTCTCACCTTCGCGTGTTCAAATGTATTTGTTATGCCATCAACCTTCACCCAAAACACAAGTTTGTAACTCGTGCTCGCCGTTGTCTTTTCCTTGGATACCCTGTTGGTCAGAAAGGTTATCGTGTTTATGACCTCGACACGCATACCATCTCCACTTCCCGTGATGTCCACTTCCATGAAATAATTTTTCCCTTTGCCCACTCACCACCTGAACATGAGGATGACTCCCTTGTTCTTCCACTTATTTCTCCAGACTCATTACCCACTCTGCCCAGTACACCATCTCCCGGCCCACACCATCCTAGCCTAAACCCAGATGCCTTGAACCACAACACTACCCAACCTCCCACTTTCCCATCCCCAATTCCCGACACCACTCCCTAATCCCCATCCCCACCAGAGACCGCTCCGATCTCACCCACTACTGCCACCCATTCTCTCGCCTTACCTGACCCCCCACCTGCACCGTCTCCACAACCTTCCATTTGACACTCTTCTAGCCTGACCCGACCCCCTGCCTATCTCAAAGATTATGTGGTCCATCATGCTGCTTTACTTGCACCTGGCGTCGCCTCTTCCTCCATGTCCAGCACCCGTCATCCACTCCACCGGTATGTCTCTTATGCCTTCTTATCTCCTACTCATCAGACTTTCATCCATAATGTTTCTTATCAGATGGAACCCACATCCTATGACCAAGCCCGCCATGACCTTAACTGGGTTGCTGCCATGAACACTGAACTCCTAGCTCTCAAAGACAATCAGACATGGAGCATGGTCTCTTTGCCTGCTGGTCATCGTGCCATTAGATGCAAGTGGGTTTTCAAAATCAAATACAATTCGGATGGTACAATTGAGCGGTACAAAGCCCGACTCATTGCCAAGGGTTTTACTCAACGCAAGGGGATCGATTACAAGGAAACTTTTGCCCCTGTTGCTAAGCTGATCACTGTGCGATGCTTATTGACCGTTGTTGTTGTTCCTCATTGGTCCTTACATCAGATGGATGTGCAGAACGCATTCCTTCACGGTGAACTTCACGAAGAAGTGTATATGTTGCCTCCTCCTGGTTACCGTCGACAGGGGGAGCGTGTTGTATGTCGACTCCAAAAGTCTTTGTACGGACTTAAGCAAGCGTCCCGCAGTTGGTTTTAGAAATTTTTCTCTGCCATCCATGACATTGGATTCACACAATCTCGGGCTGATTATTCCTTGTTTACCAAGGTCTCTGGCAGCTCCATTACCATTGTTTTATTATATGTTAATGACATGGTTATTACAGGAAATAATGATAGAGCAATCAATGATCTCAAGCAATTCCTTAGCCGCTGCTTCCGAATTAAAGACCTTAGACCCCTAAAGTACTTTCTTGGAGTTGAAGTCGCACGGTCCAAAGCTGGCATTACCATCAATCAGCGCAAGTACACACTTGACATACTGAAAGAGGCGGGTTTATTTGGTGCGAAGCCATCAAAGGTCCCAATGGAACCTGACTTAGTGCTACTACCCACTGGTAGTGATCCTCTCAAAGATCCTACGCAATACCGACGAATGATTGGTAAATTAATATACTTGACAATCACAAGACCGGAGATCACATATGCGGTCAACACCATGAGTCAATTTATGCAGGAACCTAGGCAACATCATCTTGACGCAGCACATAGACTTCTTCGATACCTTAAAAATGCTCCTGGACAAGGTTTGCTGTTTTCTTCTCAAAGTAAGCTAAACTTGATTGGCTATTGTGATGCGGATTGGGCACGTTGTTCGATTACTCGCCGTTCAGTTACAGGTTATTGCATTTTTCTGGGCAACTCACTCATATCTTGGAAAAGCAAGAAACAGGTCATGGTAGCACGATCATCTGCCGAAGCAGAGTACCATTCCATGGCTGCAGCAACTTGTGAACTCACATGGTTGTGATAATCAAGCTGCATTACACATTGCAGTGAATCCTGTGTTCCACGAGCGCACCAAACACATTGAGCTTGATTGCCACACCATTCATGAGAGGATTCAAAGAGGAGAAATCAAGACAGCCTATGTACACACTGGGGAACAAGTGGCTGACATGTTTACTAAGCCACTACGAACACCTGCTTTCCATTTGCATCTCCGCAAGTTAGGAGTTCTTGACATCCACGCTCCAACTTGAGGGAGAGTGTTAAAGGAAAGTATATTTGGTTAAACATGATTGTAGGGATTGTAAATAGTCAATGATCTGGTTAGAGCTATCATAAACCTCGGTATTAGTTAGAGTGGGATATTTCTATTTAAAGTACTTTCTTTCTTCCCTCCTGGCCGATGTGGGACATTGGGGTTAATAGGCAACTGGCCGACGGATCAAATTAACGAACTGGCTTATCAAAATTTGATGACAATATTCTACTTACTTCGGTTATAACTACAGGTGGTGTGTTTGATTTCTTTGTTAAAAGTGTGCTTGGTTTAATGAAGAGGTAATGGAAACCAACCTAATCGAGAAGATGACG